AGCTTGCTCACACTCCAGAGAGGTGTGACAGAGGCAAGGCCCAGGAAGGCAGCAGGGCAGAGGCCACAGCTCCCGGGAGAGGCCTCCGTGTACTCCGCAGGGCCTGGCACACAGGCAATTAAGGGTGAGCGGGGAGCCACTTCTCAGAGTCAGACACCAACGTTTCCTGCAAGCACAGCCCTGAATCCCGCTCTCTGATCTTCTGATGTGTATAACAAGCAGCTATCAGGTCTAAGAGAACAAGAGATAAATTAGGGCTCCCCACTACCCAGGTGAAGCATGAAACGGCCTCCGTGGCAGCAGATCCTGTCACGAGCTCTGGACCATCTGCACCCCAGGGGAGGCTTGGGGTGACCGTCTGGGCCAACTAGGGCAAGATTAAAGGCTGCTAGATGCGCCAGGCCTCGCCTGAAAGCCAGCTAGAAACATGTTGCCGATTTGAAGCAAACTGTGTACACTGGTGACTGCTTCATTCACACCCGATTCCCGGACAGGGCGGGGTCGCCCCAAACCTCAGCGGCACCCTAGCAACGGGTCACTTTTATCCACAGCAGGAAGCTCAGCTCCTGGGGCCTTTAAGTGGAGGGCTCCTGCTTAATGCATGCGTTCTGCAGGGACCAAAGACACAGCGTGGGGAGCGTAGAGGAAGCTTGTTTAGCCAGAATTACAATCGGCATCTCAGCTTCCCCCAGGGAGGGAAAAGTAGCACAGGAAAAAGGCCAGGGAGAGTGGCATCAGACAGCGCCGGGTTAGTCTCAGCGCCAGCATACAGCAGCCCTGAGATCTGGCAGTCTTTAACCTCGCCAACCTCAGCTTCCTGATCTGGGCAGTGGACATAGCAGGGCCCACACCAAGCGCAAACCCCACAGAACCTGAGGCCCGTAACAGGCACTCCGTAGGAGGACCCACGGGCCCTGAAAGGAGGAATCGTGAGCTCAGGTGCAACCAGCCAAGGCACCTGTGCTCCCAGGGGCTGCAGGCCCAGCTCTGAGCTTTCCTTCGGATCTGAACCACATCTGGACCTCCTGATTTACACACTCCCCAACCTCAGATCCTTTCGTTTTGAGAGGAAATGTCAAATACCAGCCTTGGTCTTTCTTAGCTGCCTGATCTTAGGTAAATGCTAGTCACCTCTGCACTTTGGTTTATGAATTATCTGTGAGGCGGAGGCCAGCAGACCCCTCTCTCCACACACAGACGTCATGTGTAGTGCAGTAGTGTGCAGCCGCCTTCAGAGCCCCGAGCCAAGCCCAGCCTCCTCTGGGACGCCTGTGGCCACAGGTCTGGAGCAGCTCAGCGCACGGAGCCTGCGTTGCGCAGCCTGCTGACGTGGGAGGCCCAGGCTGAGAGCAGGCGGGCCGGGAAGCTCTGCCAAGACCAGGGCAGGTGCCGCGGGCTGCAGTCGGGCAGCTCAGTCGCCCCGCTCTGCAAATCCATGCTGACTGGGACTCTGAGGAGAAGGGCAGCTGGCCACCGCGGACTCCTGCAGTCTGCTTTCGATCGTGCCCTGCCCTTCACAGGCTGTCTATCCGGGCTACCCTCTCTCCAGCACTAACTGGCTGAAGGCGGGGTCCACAGGAGTGTTCCGAGAAGCACCTCTGCCACAAGCCACACAAAGAGGCTTCCTGGGCTTCCCCTGAGGAGGTCGCCTGTGCGAGTGCAGGCGACACTGGACACTGCTTCCACCACAGCTTCCGCTTCCCTGCTGCTGGTGGCCTTGGACACCACTCACAGGATGATGTTTTGGCGTGTCCTTCCTGGCACTTGCCCCGTGGACTTCTCCTGTGAGAACACTCACTCAGCTGTGGCCGGCTGCTCTGGGGACTCAGGCTGTGCACAGAGCACTGGTGACTTATGCCACTGCAGGCCAAAGCTGGCAAACTCTGGCTGTCCAGCCAGGCCCAAGAGGGTGGTTCAGGAACGTGGTGACCCACGGTGGCGGCAACCCTCCTCACTTTATCCTTCCTAAGGGCACAGCTCTGAGTTCACGGAGTGTCACTATGCAAACATTTCCACTGACCAGGCACCACCTTAGGCATGAGGCACACAAAGAGGACAAAGTCAGAGCTGACTGCAGGTGCTCTGGGGCTTATGGTCCAGGAGTCTCACATTTATTAGCGTCCCATGCAATGCAGGAAAGACCAGCATCTGGATAGGTTTCCTGAAGAACTCTATGTGACCCCAGAACAGGTGACAAAGGAGCTGCTATGACATGAGACCAGCAGAGCGGGTTCTTGCATACAGGAAGCTGCTGAAGAGCCAGGGCGGGGAATGGAGGTTAACTGAGGAGAAGCGACACACACAGCTGGGGCTCTGGTTTAGGCCCGGGAGCCCACGGAAGGCTCTGCCCAAGAAGGGCGACCTGGGCAGTGCCCCGCCCAGCTGATGCCTGCAATGGCCAACAAGCAGTGTTGGGGTGGAGAGTGGCTCAATGGAAGTGGGGAGACGAGTCAGGTGGAGAGGCCACCACTGTGCTGGGAAAGCTCCCACAGGCTCTGGCTCCTACACAGCTGTGACTCCTACACAGCTGATGGCGGGGACAGGGCTGAGCTGGGTGGGATGCCTGCGGCACACCTGGGTGCTCTCGAGGGACAGGGCCTCTCGGTGGTGGTTCTGGATGGTCAACTCTTGCAATGATGGTGCTAGGAGATGGCTGGGAGGCGGACAGGCAGCCACTGGAGGTGCAGTATTGAGCTGGATCACACATGATGTATCATTGCTGTTAGCATTATTATAGAGAAATCCTGTTCTGTAAAATGATTCCTTACTCAGAGCCCCACTGGATTCTGGCAACAGTTCCGTGTGAGTCAGGAAGAGAAGCGAAGCAGACACGCGGTGGGGAGCTGCGCAGGTGCCAAGAGTCAGCAGGAGAGCCTGGGTTGCAGGGCAGTGCTTGGGAGGATGCCCGGGAGCACACCAGATCTTGTGAGACTGCAAAGCGACTGACTTCGTGCATGGAAGGACCCGCTGCGTAACAATGGACAGCCGGCCCACCTGCTGGGCACAGGCAGGCCAGAGCCCCGTCCCTTCCTAGCTCTTACCTTGCAAGTCTCCCAGGCTCCTTGGCGTGGATGCAGCTGCAGCCACCCCCTTGGCCCCGCCCCAGCTGTGTAGGAGTCACAGGCTCCACAACCAAGAGCTCACGCCCACCTCCGAAGTGCCAAGAACAGAGCCTGGGACACTGCGCTACCCAGCCCTCTCTGCTGCCTGTTTGGGGACAAGGTTTCACTGAATGGCCAGAGCCTTGGGCTTGGGACCTCCTGCCTTGGCCTCTCAGGAGCTGGGATTCCTAGCGCAAGCCACTAAGGCCAGCTGCGAACCCTGGCTATGGCGGGGCCGCCTGTCTTCCTCTGCTTTCTAAGAAGCCGGTCTCATGGTGCTGTCCAGCCTGGGCTTGAGGTCCTGGGCCCAGGGACCCTCAGCCTCCAGAGGAGCTGGGGCCGAAGACTGAGAATTCCCCAAGGCCCGCCATGGTACGAGACCTGGGCTTCATGGTCACCTGGTTCCTTGGCTCTGCCACCTGTGCCTGCGTGCGGCCGGGAACCCCGGCTCACATTCTGGCAGCCAGGACCTGGAGCTGGCTGGCTTTCCAGTGGCTTTCTGTATTATTTTTGCTCGTTTTTGAGTCAGGGTCTTGCTAGAACTTTGTGCTCTTACTAGGTACAGGTGCAGGCCCACGTGGGGCACTCAGGGAAAAGCAAAGTGACAGCCGTCACGCGAGGTCAGCCGTGCTCCTCCGCTCCTGTTAGCACTGAGACCCTGGGGGACAGAGTGGCTTGCTTTCACCTTAATTAGTGCAGCAATTTGCTAAATTTTGCTTTTCCCTTTTTAAGAGTGTTAATCAATCTCAGCTCAGAATAGATTGGAATGGCAAGCAAATTACCACGACAATCCCCAAATGCTAAATTCTGAACATCCTGATCAATCTCAAGCCTGAAAACTGGAAACCAGAAGTGTCACTGAGCTCTAGTTAAGACATGATGGCTCTGAAATGAAAAGATAATGGCCTGAGGGGGCCTGAGACAGCCCACATGCCGAGTCAGCCTCGTGCCCAGTCCTCCCAAGGGGACCGCCGACCCCCAGCGATGCACGTGTCCGTGGCGTGTGTTCTCCACCACGAGCGTTTGGCTCTGCCAAGACCACAGGCATTACCAGGCACTTACTACACACAGAAATACAGAGAAGAGTGAGGCCTGTCCCTTCCCACCTCCTTAAGAAGCTTCCAGTAACGGCGAAGGCAGCAGACACTTCCTCCTTTCCAGGGAACTCAGGAATGTCCTGAGAGGTGGGAACACTCGGTCAGGAAGCACAAGCAGCAGGACTTAGGTCAGGACGGGAGAGGGTCCAGCCTGTGCAGGCTCCCCCAGGAGAGAGGGCCCAGTGAGCCACGGCACAGCACAGGGAGCGCGTGGAACCTGAGGCAGAGCCAGCACAAGCTGGCTTTCCTGGCGAGTCCAGGCCCACGGGCCAGACGCAGCCAAGGCGGGCAGGCACTGAGGAAGTGGCCAAGCGGTTCTCGGGTGAAAGCCTGCGTTCAGCTCAGCGCTATATGCGAGCTCACATGCCTTTGCTCACTTGAGCCTCCTAATCACCCACGAGTTAGAATTCTAATCAACACTAATGAGTGAATAGGGCTCATAGAGGGTCGACCTAGGGTCTGTGACCAGTCCTGAGAATGCCCCAGGTCCAGCCAGGCCTTCCAGGCCCAATTCAGCATGTACCTCCATGGGTGATGACACTCTAGACTTCTCCCAAGGCCATGTCTGAACACCAGGAACCCAGAGGCCTCAGTGTCTACGGAAAGCCTTCTGTGGCTAGGGTGGCCCAGAGCAACGTGGACTTACACTGGGAGAGGCCACTCGATCATCTCTGATGTCCACATCAGACAACCTGTGCCTCGCTGGATGTCTGCAGCTAGGAGCTAGGACTTCAGCCACCACCAGCCTGTTCAGCCCCCTGGACGGAGCCAAACAGCCCTGAGTGGCCCACTCCTGCCCTACCTTGAGCTCATCAGCGTTGTAGAAGTCCACGCGCACAGCGGGCACCATCCACGTGTGGAAGAGCGTGGCCAGGATCTGCTCTGCGATGGAGTCGGCGATGAGGTGGAAGTGCAGAGGGTTTCGCCTGTGGGGAGGAGCGGGACAGGGGGTCAGAGCCTCGCGTCCAGCCCCCTGCTGCCCACCCCGACCCCCGAGGCAGTGCGTGCACCCCACGGCCACCATGAAAGGTGCATAGCAGTGCTCGCTGGTGAGGACGTCCCAGCAGGAGATGGGAACACGCTCCCCACCTGGGCAGGTGACATCGCTGGGGGTGCCCAAACCAAGCACGCCACACACACGCAGGGCACACGCACATGGGCCATCTTCCAGAGGCTTCTGGGCACCTGTTCTGGCACTGGGTTGATGTGTGCTTCCCGCGTGGTCTACCCCAGGGAGACCTCGGCTCTTGCCCTTGAGCAACAGCAGCCTGTCCCTGCTCCTGGACTGCTGGCAGTGAAGGCTCCTGTAGCCTGGCTGAGGCCACACACCATACAGGCCAGCAGGACGTGGGGCCTGGTGTCTGGACGCAGCACCATCCTGCACTTGTCACGGGGGCTACGCATGGCGCCAACCTCTGCGCTGCAGCTGCGCAGGTCTATAAAGTGCCAGGAAGCCGCCTCGTGAGGCTGTCGTGCTGATGAGGTGAGCTTGCAAGCTCCATGTGCGACACATCGGGAAGACAGAACAGGAGCAGGCAGCTCGCCTGGCCGAGGGCCAGCAGGAATGGGGAGCCCCCCATGAACACGGCCATTCTACGAGGCACAGCAGCTGGAACCACTGGGGACCTGGGCCACCCCGGCCCTGCTCCCAGAGCACCAAACTGAGGCAACTGGGATGAAGGTGAAAGAGCATGGCTTCTGCCAAGGGAAGAAGAGCAGCACAATTCTGCCTCCAGGCGGCAGAATTCTGGAGGACAAGCAGACAGACAGGTGCAGGGACAGAACCCACCGCAGGCCAGAGGCGCCACAGCTGGCCCGGGCGGCAGTAGTGCAGGGACAGGGAGAGGAGGCCTGTGGCAGGGTCTGTCTGTCTTACAATACACAAGGCCCCAAAAGCCAAGGTCATCATTAATTAATTTTATTCCTCAATAGCAAGTTTAGGAAAAGAGAGCCCTGGACAGCGGCCTGCGTGCTCAGGGAGGCCCTGCACTGAGAACCTGCAGGGCACTCACTTCAGAAGACCACGGCAGCGGGCTGAGGCCTTCAGTGTGCTGGTCTGCTCGAGGGCGGTCACATGGCCTTGGTACTGCGTAAGGCGAGGTCTCCGTGAGAGAAACCCATGGGCTCCTGGACAGCAAAGGCCACATGGACCCCGGGCTGGCAGAGCTGGGCATGCAGCCCTGGCCCATCCCCTCCCTGGGACACAGGAGCCGCCCAGTCCAGTGCCTTCATGGCCCTGCCTATGGGGACAGGCACACACCTTCACAGGTGGGAGCCAGGCAGGTGGGCAGCCCCGCACCTGAGGACAACATGTTGACCTCTGGCTATGAGCGCCATGCCCAGGCCACGCACCTGCTCAAGTCTCACGGCTGTGTCCTCAGCGAGCTGACGCCCAGCTCTCGACAGCCCCATGCATGCCGTGTGCAGCAGCTCGGGAGGGTTGTGGGGACAGTGGTAATGACAACAGCGTCTACACTGTCACTGAGGGGACAACTAACACCGGCAGCTTCTTCCTGGTGAAGAGCGCAGGCACAGACTTCCACCCTGTCTGCATGCCGCGGGCCACGGTTGCGCGCATGCAGAGTGGGCTGCAGCACTGCCCGCCTCAGGAGGCAGAGGGGACTCAGCTCTGAGGACCCTGGAGTGGCCCGCTGCAGAGGGAGCCACGTGCTGGAGCAGCATCTGCCCATACTTGGAATGTGGTGTGGGCAGGGCCGGCACAGTGGCCTGTGGGCCACCTGCTCACCAAGGCGAGCTTTGGGCCGCAGCCTAGCTGCCTGCCACCGCGGCTGATCCTGTTCTCCCCACGCAGCTTGGCTGGGCTCTGCCAGGAGGGTGAGAACAAGCAGAGAGACAAGCAGGAGCTCAATGGCCTATAAGCTCCGTACCAACAAACAAAACTCTCCTTGCTGCATGAAGGAATGTGAGTGACAGGCTCTTCCTGCCAACAGGATTGCAGAGTGAAAAGCAGTGGGCCCCTGGCACATGAATGCTGAACACTTGGTTATAAATAAGTACATTTCTCCTCTGCTCAACAAGGGCTGGCTCCCTGCGGGGTGGCGCTATCTCCCCGCGATCTGCACCTGCGATGGGGCGCGGCCGTCCTCCCACTCTGTGAATCACCTTCCATCCCAGTGATGCCCCCAATGGTGGTTCCTCCTCAGCTCCACTGCACACAGCCTGCCCCAAGTGCCTTTCTCCACCCCAGAGGCTGGGTAACAACAGCGCCCAAACTACTTATAGCAGACGAACGGAAGCAGAGGCGCCTGGCTTCCCCACACACAACCCCCTCACCACGCTCGCTCTTCCTCGGCTTTCCGGCCCACCTTCCCTTCCCTGGCCCGAGTCAATGCCCATGCAAGTGCCTGCACATGGGTGGCCCGCTCCACTCTGTATTCTACTTTCCCTGACTCGGCTTTGAAACCACAGCTCCCGTCTCCACTCATTTCTGCTGCCACGGGCAGAGGCTGTTCCTTCATTCTTCTTTCTCAGCAGCGCCCAATCTCACGAGTAGAGACAACAGTTCTGCAGGCTTTCTCCACCATTTGGATCTCCTTTTAAGACCGAGTCCCAAGGCAGTCACTGGGGCCACGGCGCTGGCATGGGCCTCTCCCTTTTATTTCCGTGCCATTTAGCAAGCGGTGGCCAAGGGTGAGTGTGCAGGCGTGTGTGCCCCTGCACTCTCCTGGGAGCAGGGCGAGCAGGCACTCACCACCAGTGCCTGCTGCAGGAGGGAAGCCAACTGGAGGCAGCTGAGCAAGCCATAAAGGAAAACTTGCTGGACATGTCTCCAGGAAAATCAATGGCCACTGTGATGAACAGCAAGGGCCCGACAGTAGCCACGCCGCGTTACCCAGTCATTACTAATGTTGGGAGGGTGCTTTGTCAACAGCCTTCGGACCACGCCCGAGTTGCCTGCCTCGAACTTCCAGGCAGCGGGCTATCTACAGCTGCTTCCAAGTGCAGAGTCTAACGCCCTCTCCTCTCACTATCTGGGTGGGGCCCCGCACACCAACCCACAGGTCCTCCCTGCTCTCACATGCTCGTGATGGAGGGCCTCACTTGTCACTGAGCAGGATGGGGAACTGTCGTGACCTACACTCAGAGCTCCCTGCCTCCAAGAAGGGACGGCACGCCCCCAGCAGCCAGCCTATGATTTACGGTTTCTCTGCCACGGGTACTGTGGGAGTGAAAGCCTGTCCATGCTGGGATTCCGGCAGTGCCAGCAGCCACTGGGTTACGTGACACACAGATAAGGCAGCAAGAACAAAACTTACTGTCATCGGCACAGGGAGTTGCCACCCCCTAAGGGAATTGCTGAGACCCAGCACCACTGAATAACCACGCAGTGCCCTCTTGGAAAGAGGCTCGTGCTGCTGCTGGGGTCCTGGTGCTCTTCAATGGAGCGCGTGGGCAAGGTCCCATGAGCTCAGCACCCAGCCTCAGGCGCCTGGCTGCCGGCTCAGCAGGCGAGGGTGCAGAGCCCCAAGGTCCTTGGTGCACCTGCAGTGATGCCACACAGAAAGGCCGCGTGGCTGCCAGTCAGGAGCACGGTGTTCTCGGCTGTTGGACATGCGGCCTCACACTTCCTGCTGTGGGGGCCGCATCTTCCCACGGGACACGGACAGGAGGAGGACTGCCACCAATGAAGCCCTTACTCGGTTGGCTTCCATGCTCCTTGCACATCCTCCCCCCTCGGAAGGCCACTGAGCCCCACCTCTGGCTCTCTGGTGTGGGCACTATAGCGCTGCGTGGCCCAGCCAGGACCCTGTCGCCGCGAGTTCAAAATACATGCTGCTGTGGACGACATGTGCGGAGTGACCTGACTTACAGTGGGAGCTGAATACCACAGGAACTAGAAACTAAAGACTGGGGCTGGGTGCCACGCTGCTGCAGGGTGGCAGGGCTGGGCGCCTGGGCCGCGGCTGGGCGGCGCAGCGCTACCACTCAGCCAGCCGAACCCACCTTCCTTCGATCTCCACGATGCCCTGGCCCTGGCTCACGTGCAGCACACTCATGACTGTTGAAAGCCAACACTTCCTGGGCAGTGAGGGACCGGCGGGCCCGAGAGCCCGGGAAGACAGAAGACTAAGACACAGTCTGCCCTCCACACCCTGAGTCCAGGCTCATCGTGGGCAGAACAGATGGAGGCCCCAACCTCCGCGTCTGGTGGGGTGAGGACTGGTGGTTTTACGGAGGAGGTGGGGCGGGGGGTCCAGCAGGATGACCTGCGGACCCCGTGCTGGATGTGACCCAACCCAAGGTATCACACAAGAGTAGGGGCCGGGGAGAGTCCCAAGGGATTGTGGACCAAAGGTGGGAGTTTTACCTAGAGATGGGACATCACTCATGGGGTTGTGCATTTCAGACAAGATGAGGCAGGGCTTTGTGGGGCCCAGAAATGCCCCGAGGCACCACAGGGAGCAGTGGCAGAGAGAAAGTGGCCAGCATGGGACACAAGAGACACAGTGGCCAGCCGGCCAGTGGGGCAATGGAAGTGTGTCCCTCAGCCCTGCCAGCTGTGTCCTGGGCTCTGTCCCTGCTTGAGATGCAGTCATGATGTCCTCCCCCAAGGTGTGGCTGTGTCCTGATTTCCGTGGGAGACACCAGCCATCCTGGATCAGGGTTCACCCAGGGGCGCCGCCTTCACTGAGCTGTATCTTTGAGGGTCTTATCCATCCCCCACCCCCAGGCCCAGTCCTATTCTGAGGTGCCGGGGGTTCCAGCTTTAAAATAAGAGCTCCAGGGGGCAGAAGGCAGCACGTTACCAGCTGGCAACATGCCTGGAAGTGGTCCCGAGCTGATGGACAGGCTGCAGCACGGGCTCGGTGTCCCCGAAGGCTCCTGTGGCTGTGCGCCTCACCCCACCCCCACTTGTGGCGAGAAGGACCCGGGTGCTGCTTGTGACCTTCCTTAACTCCACCACCTTCTGGGATTGGGACCCGCACGCCCCACTCTGCGCAACAGAGTGGGTGGTGTGGCCTCGCCCTTCCCAGCCCTCCCTGAGGACCACACACAAGGCTGCTCTTACCTGTGGAAGAGGACGGACTTGACCAAGGTGACCACATCTCGGCTGGCATTGTACCCGGCGCAGACAATGGCAACGTGGATAGTCTGTGAGGACAGGAGCACAGTGTCACCAGGAGGAGGCTTCGCAGAGCATGTCCGCCAGAGGACAAGGCACACGTACCCCTCCTTGGTGTCGTGGGAAGGCAGAGAGCAGTGCCTGCCATGTGGAAGACAGCTGGGGACGGTCTTATTAAGGCCTTCTGAATCAGTTCATGGCACTGTCATCACTTGGAAGCCATTAGGGCTCTTTGCAATTACATTTGGGGACAAGAGAAACGGTGATTGGTTCCAATAGGCAAACAGTGAGGCCCGGCCCCCAACGGGAGGCGGACAACTAGAGTGGGGAGAGAAATTTGTCCTAGAAGGACAAGCCACCCTCCTGGCTTGGTCTAACATGCTCTCAGGTGTCACCAGGGCCAGGCCCACCCGTGGGCCCCTCAGGATGCTGTCCAGGGCTTGAGTCCTGGGCCTTGTTTCTTCTCCCTTAGGCAGGGAAAACTGCAGGTCAGGGGACCCTCAGCAAGGCGGGGTGCAGCCTGCATGGCAGTGGACAGGGGAGGTACCCATGCCAGGCCACGTTGGTCACAGTCAACACGGCCTCCAAAGCACAGGGCCTGGGCCTGGGCCTGGGCCTTGCACCTAGCATGATTCAAGTGCAGGTGGAGAAGGCCCTGGTCTCTGCACCACCTCAGAGCTTGCAGGTTGTGCTGGTGGTGGCTGGCTGGCAACCCTTTGCCACCAGGAACTTTCCCCCACGGCTCCTGAACCTGAGTACCAAAGCTGGCCTGTGCCACTTGGGAACCCCCATGGGACACCTCTGGCCTGTGGAGTCTGTGCCTCTGGCAGGAAGCACTGCGCTTACAGAGTGGCAGTCTGTCCCCTCACGGCCCCCCAGGCCACACTGACTGGATGCGCCCTCTGGTACTCAATCCAAGGCCAGGTGCTGGACTCGGCCCTCGCCCTGAGCACGGTTTCTGACTCTCTGCTCTCGTCAGCCATAGCAGAAGGCACTCTGACCCAGATCACGCTCCACGGGCTCCAGAGACACTGCCTTTGGGTCGCAGACCTCCTGCTGCACCCAGCTCCTGGCCGCAGGGCGAGAACTGTGCCCCTGGTGCAGCCCCAGTCCACCCCCCGACCTCTGGTCCTTCCTGCACCGCTGCCACCTCACACCCGGGAGGAGCTGGATCAGCTTCACCCAGAGCCTCCTCACTTCCTCTGAGTGCGGGAGCCACAGCTCACCATGCCCAAGGATTTGGGGGCCCCACTCCCTGCTGCTCACCGGGGCACTCCTCACCCTGCTCTCTGCCCACATCTACACCCGTCCCAGTGCTGCCTGTACTGCTCTGGAACGAGAGAGCCTGGGGGATGGTGGGTAGAGTTACCAGGCAGGACAATGCCTGGCCGTGAGTCCTTTCCCTGCAATCCATCAAGAAATGGGGACCATCAGGACCAACCCCTGGGCGGAACCACAACCCTGGGCTCCATCACCCTGTGCCAGCCCCACTGCCTACCAATGAACCCTCAGACGCCGGCTGGTCACGCTGGCCCAGCAGGGCCCCTGCACTCCTCCTCCTGCCTGAGGTGCTGTAGCATGCTGGCCAGGTGAGGGCTCTATGCCACTGTTGATGACTGGTGCCACTGGGCTGTGTGGAAGGCACAGGATCCCAGGAAGGGCCTGCCCTGCCTACGGCCAGGAAGCTGTCCAGAAAAGAGGGCAAGAAAATGGCAGTAGGTTCCGGTCGCCTGGGTCCTGCTGGTTCACGCATATCTGAGCGGTGCCCGTGGGATAGAGCGCCAGGTCTTGTCTCTGGGTGACAGCTCCGGGAGGAGTGGGCAAGCCACAGGGCAGGGTGCAGCAACCTCACCCCCACCAGAAGGGTGTGAGCAGGTATGCACCTTCCCCCGAGGCAGCAGGGAGGGTGAGCACGAGGCGCCTGGAGTCGGGCCCCCAAGTCACAGACACGTAAATGCACCGCCTCTGAAAGAGCAGCTCTGGCTTCACTTCATCTTTCAGAGACTTTGGAAAACGGGCCCATTGATGGTGAGTGTAAGTGCGTACGTTCTCAAACAGCTTAGGTGAGTTTCCAGGCTGTGTGGCTTCATCCACACACCGGCCACCATGAATAAGCTCATCCTCGGGAGCCAGAGCTATGGAGCCCGCTACCTGGGAGTGGGAAACTAGGTCCCAGCCACCTCCTTCTAGGAGGGCAGGGGCGGCCCTCAGTCCCACGGGCACCCTGATTCTCCTAACAGCAGGTAAGGACAGGAGCTCAGCAGGGGGGCGCAGAGGACGGGTGAGCTCTCCTGGAAGATGCAGAAGACAGTGTACCGGCCCATCACTTCAGCCGGAGGCCATGAGGTCAGGCTGCTCTGCCAGGCAGCAGAGGGCGGACAATGTCAGCAACGAGTGGAGCCGACGCCGCAGGCTGCACTCACTGTCCCTTTCCTGTAGGGATGATGCAGTGTCTCTGGGGGAAGACCTGCCCAAGGCCTTGTGGCTGGTGAGTCCCTAAGTGTCCTGCTGTAGCAGGGCTGGACACTGCAGAGGAATGTGCACACCTGCTTTCACACCGCGGGCAGGAGGCCCATGCAACCCCAGGCCACAGGTTCCCAGAGCAGAACCAGGTGGCCACAGTAGAGTCACCGCCCCAGTGGTAGAAATCAGCCAGCAGCATGTGGCTGGTGCCAGAGGGCCACGCGATGGGCCAGGGAGAAGGCACAGAAACGGGCAAGGCCAATTTTCCAGCACCCAGAGGCTGTTAGGTGTTCAGAAACACTGGTGGCACCTCCACAGGCTTCAAGGCAGCCACAGAGGCCCACACGGCTGCAGCAAGCGTGCTGTAGACTTCCGGTGTGGGCTCTGGCACAGAGCTTCACCAGTGCAGGGACAGGGAGGGGTGAGGCATGGTGACGGCAACACCGAGGCTCTGGGGCCAGAGGGTGAGCCCACATGGCTCCTCAGGGGCACGAGAAACCCAGGCGAAGGGAAGGGAAGCAAGGGGCTGAACGTGCGCTCGGCGTGGTCACAGTGCGAGCACATGCTACGGGCAGCGGCCTCCACGTCTGGGCCTCATGCCTGCCCGGCTATTCCACCATCTCAGGAGCACAGGAAGCCGGGCGCATCCACTCCTGGCCCTCGCAGCTCCTCACGCAGCGGCCCAGGCTGCGGCCTCAGAGCTACCTGGTCTCCCACACCTTGCTCCCGGGCAGCGGACGACCTGGATATGCGCTGGCCCTGAGCACAGCAGGACAGGGACGCTCTGAGATTGAGCCGCAGCATCCAAGACTTGGCAAGAACTTGCTCTGTACGCAAAACCTGCTTCCCAGGTGCCTTCGGGGAGGGGCAGGCGAGGGCAGCCTACTCCATACACTGCCCTTGAGGTCAGCAAGGATGGCAGAGGGCCCTTGGGCACGTGCCAAGGGAGGCGACTGCCCTAGCAGCCTCTGGCTGTGACGTCGGTGCCAGCACTTGGCTCTGGTGCCCCTGCTAAGCAGAGACATGGTATGGAAGGCCAACGGGCCGCCTCACCCTGGACACAAACAGAAGTGGTGAGGTGCAGCCTTAGAAACCAGCCCCAGAGGTCTCCCCAGCCCTGATATGCTGGCAGGGACTCAGGGGCTGGCCCTGGGCTTCTCCCACCTCGGGCATGAAAGGGAAGCGGGAGCCACAGGACAAAGCCTTGCACACTCAAAGCCTAGACGCTCCACAGGATATACTATGAGTGCCGCAGAGACTTGACTCCGACCGCAGAGCTCTTCGAGGCCACGCTAGGTGGCTCCCGGAAGTCCAGGGAGGGCACAGCGGCGAGTCCAACTGTACGGCTCAGTGCCTGCCTGTACCTGCGCCCCTCCCTGTGGCAGCCGAGTCACGAGCACCCGAGGGCATGGAGACCAGACCTCCAGCCCGCAGCGCGCGCAGAGCCTCCACCCAGGGCCTCCTGGCTAGCCAGATGCAGGTCCCCTTCCAGATCTGTCGCTGGCCACACGGGTTAGCATGGCGGGCACAGCCGCAATCCCAGCCTCTGAGGCAGGAGGATCAGAAGTTCAGGGTCAGCCTGGGCAATCTGGGGAGACCTTGTCCCAAAAAAGTTTTAAAAGGGCTGGGAATGTAGCTCAGTGTGTTCGACCCCAGCATCAAGAAACAAAACCACCGGACACAACCCCACAGCAGCACGGCCCCAACGTGCAGGGGTCTCCCACTTGCTATCCCTCTCCCAGAGCAGGGGAGCAGTTGGGGGCGCTCTGGAGCCGCGAGACCTCAAGGCAGGCGCAGTACTCCGCTGAAAGACTGGGCTCCCAGCTCCCTCCTGCCCGGAGTGTACTCACTGGACATCCACCCTCTGCCGCTCCCGGGCCAGGGAAGGACAGACAAAGGCGCGGGCGGGCCTCTCCCCTTCTCTTGCCGGCCCCTGGGCGGGAGCCCACGTCCTGCCGCCGCGTGCGCAGCGCCACCTGCAGGCCGATCCTAGCGGCCCGCAGCGCCTCTCCGTAGGAGCCGGGGTCTGCACGGGGCTGCTCCCGGAGCAGCGCGGCCAAGGCAGGAGGTGCTGTCTGTAACTAGGGATACACCTAGTGCCCGGGATGGCCCCACTGGAGCCAGCCCTGCCTCGGCTCCCACGGCCGCGTGTCCCTCAGGACGCGCAGGAAGCGCACCACGAGCGCTGCAGTTTGCCAGTGGTCAGCATCTCCTCAGGCCCTGGCAGCCCTGCTCCTGCCGGCGGGTGGGGACGTGCCAGGCTCTTTCCACCATCAGAACCGTACCAAGGGAGTTTCGTTGTATGGATGCAGGGAATCAAGCATGGCACAGGGGAGGACCCAGGGTCACAGCACCCAGCGTGCCCTTCAAGGGCAGGAGAGGCGTTCAGCTACCGCACACCCTGCACGGCCTCAGAGACGCGACTGGACTGGCCCCAGCCCTAGGGACCTGCCACTGGGGCCGTGACTCAGGACACCACTCACACTGTAGTCAGAAAAAGAGACTTGGGTAAGTAGCATGCACCTCCAGCATCTCTGAGGGGCAGGCCCACTTGTTCCCACCTTCCAGAAGGGACCCTGAGGCTCGCCTCACAGCAGCCAGTGCCTGGGCCGCCCACCGCCCCAGAGCACCCTTACCTCGCACTTCTCCACGGCCGGCTGCTGTCCACACTCAGAGCTGTTGCCTGCCACGATGCCCGCGCGCAGGCTCTCGCTGTCACCTGTGCCCTCCTCCACCGAGTAGGTGCCTGAGTGGTTGCCGCGGCGTGGGGCAGGCGGGCGGCCCCGGGCCAGGCTGAGCTGGCGGCGCAGGGCCCGGTTCTCCTCCTCCACCTCGCGCATCCTTGCTTCCAGTCCTTCACGCTCCCGAGGGCTGGAGGCCGGGGACCGGGGACTGTGGGCCTGGGACTCCAGTGGGGACAGGGACACGGGCTTCCCATCTGCAGAAAGAACAGCGGAGAGTTACGCAGGCAGAGCACACTGCTCCTGACTGCCCAGCTACAGCCTTCACGGGGCAGGTTTCCAGGTAGACAGTCTTACCTCCAAAGCCTCGGAGAAGGGAGGGAGGGAGGGAGGAGGACTGGGGAGGTGGGAAGGGCGGGTGTCAGACAGCAGCAGAGGGAGAGGAGCAAAATGAAATGCAAGAGGGACTGCATTTACTGTGCATGTCCTACGCGAGTGCCCGGCACCCTTCAAACCCCTGGGAGAAGCAGCACTCCTAAAGGACGCCCTCCTCCATTCGCAGGTAAAACATCCTCCAGCAGTCCACAGCGGTTGCCCCCACTGTGCAAGCTATTTGTGCACAGCGCCTGGAAAACACACGTCTGGGCTGCTCCCCTTTATGGCTGAGTGCTTTCACCACATTCCCTGTGGAGACCGGGAGCCCAAGGAGGGCAAAGCCTGGCCCTGGGTCTGAAGGGCGATGCCACCTGGGCCAGGAGTACACAGACTATGGACAGCAGGAAGAAGGACGGACAAGAGGGCAGGATCCAGCGCGAGGTTTCCCAGGAAAGGTATTACTGTGGAATGGGAGAAGCCGCCCAGTCCCAACAGGAGACCTGCACAGAAGGTGGGCGTGTCTGCCGATGGTGCAGGCCACAATGGCCAGGCCAGGAGTCACCTGGGCCTCTCGGGGAAGCACGCTGTCACAGAAAGCCACTCAGGACACTGTTCCCCAGCCTTGGCTCAGCACTGCAACTGCAGTGGCCATGCGGGCATCTTGATGGCTGGGGACCCGGGTGACACAGGACTGGATGGCCGGGAACCGGAACTGCTGCTCCCTGCTCTGCAGAACTGTGGCCAGCCCCCATGGCACACACAAGCCCTGCAGGATGCCCTCTCTGGAGGTCTGCACTCCTCTCTCTGCGAAGCGGCCACAGCGTGTGAGCCCACAGCGGGTCCCCACATGGGCATGAGTCTCTGAGGTGGCTCCGGGCTCTCAGATGTCTTGGGCCCCACAGACTGAGTGCTCCTCTCCCTGACCACTGGGCTGACCCCGCGTCCTGTCCACTCCTGTCATCCAGCGCAGCTCCTGCTCAGAACTGCTGGCTCCCACTGCAGGGCTGCATGCAGCACTGTCAGAATGACGGGCTGACTGGGGCGCAGCCACTGGGTCTGCCAGCTCCAGGCTTTGGACCCGCCTCCATCCCCTCCTTTACCTTCAGCCCCTGGAGCCGCCCAGGAGGACGACATGGGTGGGGACAGGCAGGGGCGCAGGACTCCGCCAGCCAGGTGGGGCAAACATGACATGCGCTCTAACCTCACCATCCATGCTGTGGCCAGCAGACCACGCTCCTGGGACCAGGGCCTTGGAATGCCATGCTCAGCCTGGCATCTCAGTGGCACTCGGGTGCCACAAGGACTCCTTGTTCAGGGAGAAGCTGGGGCCCAGAGTGCTCCCTGGTGAGGGGACAACCCTGCTGTATGTGGCGCTTGCTTTGAGATGGGGGCACAACGGCGCCTTCATGCAGGGTGCTGGGAGGCAACACGCCAAGCACCCTGCTCACGGGGGGGGGGGAAGGGGGCAGGGGCCACGGGGCAGGTGGCAGGCCGCATTCCTCCAGCTAGGGAGCACCGACTTCTAGCAGGAGAGCCCAGATGGAAGCGGAGGCATCAGAGGCTGTGCCTTCTCCACGAAGGGCTCTGGGCCTAACACCGCGGTGCACAGTGTGCTCCGGTACCAGGCGCCTTCCTACTTCCGACCTCTATCTGGGGTAGGTCAGGGCACCCCTAAACAGGAGGGCTTGCGCCCACTAGCTCCTCTCCTGGAAGTCGCCCCTTTCCACATTCACGTAAATGTCCTTCAGGCAGATCACTTTTCTGGGGCACACTCATGGAAGGGAGCCCAGGAAACTCGGGGTCCTCCCTGTTCCTGCCAACCCCAAAGGGCTGTCCCCAAACTCCAGTCAACACCTGCAGGTGTTTCTGAGCTGCGGGGCTCCAATCTGTCGATTTGTCACTAGAGAAAATGCAAAGCATTGAACACTTCTGGTGGCAATCGGAGCCCAGCCAGGGGAGCAGCGCCGGACCATGCCAGGGAGGGCCATTCCAGGCTGATGTCCCCGCTGGCTAGACCGCTTGCTGGGGGCCTCATCTCACACAGTGCCCTGCACCTTCCTGTCCTCTTGACTTGTGCCTTTGGGGTCTTCTGCATGGGGCGGCCGGCGCCATGGTGAGGCCTGCGCACCTCAGGCTAGGAGACTCAAGCAGACCCGGGCTTCTGTTCCTGGACTGGCTCGGGCTGGCCCTGGCCTCCAGCTCTGGCCTGTCTGATCCCCCAGGTGGAGCAGACACACCAGGCACAGGGCGGTCTGCAGCCCCCTTGTCCCTCACACGCTCTGCGTAGTCCTAGCCCTCTCCTACCCCCTGCAGGTCCACACTGGATTTGCCTCCTGGGGAACAGCTCTGTCTACCCCACTGGGGAAGGGTGCAGAGCCGGGGCACCTGGTCCACCATGCAAGAAACTCCGGGCCCACACAGAGGGCTGCCTGGCACTCAGCCCATGTGTAATATTAAATGTGAGAAGAGGGAGAGATGCCAAAGAAAAGAAACTCCAGGAGCAGAGGAAGAGCAGGGCTTTCAAATAAGAGCAAGCCAGTCTGTTCCAGGTTTTTCACCAACTAAGAGCAAACCTCAAGGATGTGCCTGACTCCACAGCCACAGGAGCTGGGGCAGGGAGTGCCTGTGGGTCTCTAGGCTGAGCCTGTGTCCTCTACTCCATCCTGGGCGAAAGGGGACAGGCGACCCCGTGCTGCCTCCTCCCCCACCCCTCTTTCCTCACAATGGCAGTCCATCAGGGCTTGAAGCACGTCCCCACCCAGTGGGGCTGTACTGACAGCACCTTTCATCTCTCCAGAACTTCTCCACAAACACAAATCTCTCACAGAACTTCAATCTCTGATCCACTGGAGATGAATGTTCCTGACCGAGAAGCAAAACATCTAAGATTCGGAGCAAGGAAGGTAAACTGCAAGCTGGGCCGTGCAGGCGTGGTCCGTGGTGGGGCACCCTGCCCTCCTGAGTACCCGGTCATGCCGACTCACTACACCGCTGAGGTCAGCCTCCCAGCGCAGGGAACAGAGCTGTGGGCTCCCTGGAGAGGCAGGGTGGGCTGCCGGGTCTGCTGCGGCCTCTGGGCTCCGTCCTGGAGGAACCCCAGGCCGCGTGTGGCTGGCGGTCCGCACAGGGACTGTGCCCTCTGTGGTGGGGACCTGGCACACTCACCTGCATGTGGCCAGCCCTGCCCCAGTGCAATCTGCTGCCTGCCCATCCTTTCTCCTCGTACTCTAAGTACAAGCTCTTCTCGGTCTATCTCAAACATTCCACTCCTGAGCCAACCCGAAAGCAGGCGCCAAAGCCGCCTGAGCCCCAGCTGTGAGCCTTCTTCTGCTGCGCGGGCCGCGAGGCCACAGAAGCCCACGCTCCAGCCCACCCCATGGCCTGGAAGTGAAAGCAGAGTGGCCGGGTCTGAATACTTTTTGTGTGGCCCTGCTCCTTCAGCCCCTGTCCCAGCCAGTCTGGCACACGGGTGCCTGGCAACACCCAATGCCCCCACACGGGGCCTGGGTACCTGCACGGGGTTGCCCCCAGCTACAGGTCAGCATCGCAGTCAACCTCCACCTGTCCACTCAGTCCCCACGCAGTCCCTACTAGAGGCAGGGCTACAGGTGCAGCAGTGTTACAGGGACCCCCGTCCAACTGACAGAGGGACAGACACACAGAGAAACAGACCGGCAGGCAGGCAGGCAGGCAGGCAGGCAGGCAGGCAGGCAGGCAGGCAGGCAGGCCAGTGATTTAACTTCTCCAATGGCATCCAGCAACCTTGGTCCCTCTCCAAAGCATCCAGGCTGATCTGGGCTGTTGGTCCTGAGGCCAGGGGCTCTCATGCCTGGCCACCATCCATTCATGTGGGAAACCTTCAGGGGCGCTGAAGAGTACCAAATCTGTGGTGGGTTCACAGTGTCCACGTTTGAAAGCAGCCGCCCGGCCGGCCCCAGGGCTCTCCGTAGCACTGGGCAAAGATACAGCAGCTTCATACATCAGGTCCTCACGGCTGAGAGCTCCCTGCGCCCTGGGCCTTGAGCTCCTGGGCTGGGCCCCCGTGCTGCCCACGGCACCTCCTTCCTGAGTTTTGTGGAAGCAGAGCCCCACCAACCACTGTAGCCCCAGACCACGCAGCGACCCCTGTGGCCTGGCCATGGGTCTGGCCTCCCAGGGAGGCTTCCAAGTTCTCTCTTCCAGCGAGGCTGTGTCCATGAAGTATTCTGTCTTTTTTTTTTTTTTTTTAACACAACACCCTCTCCTGTAACTAACCTAACCATCCTTTCAATAGCATTTGAATTTTAAAATAAATTAAAAGATTATAGACACTCATTTTAGAAAGGCTTAGAAAATTCAGTTTGGAAGCTGGGTGTGGTGACACATGCCTGTCATCCCCGTACTCAGGAGGCGGAGGCAGGAGGATCACCATGAGTTCAAAGGCCAGTGTAGGCTACAGTGTGTTCAAGGCCAGCCTGAACTACACAGTGAGACCTCATTTCAAAATTTAAAAAAGTGAGAAAAAAAAGAAAACAAAATTCAGTTTGATGGTAAGTTGTACATTCACCTTTTAATCCTATCGTGGAGCCAGGACATCCCTGGGAGCACAGAGGCCAGCGTGTTACCAGCTCTTACATCTGGGCCATTGTAAGCCACACAGTCTGAGCTGGGGCGTTTTCTGCGGCTCCAGAGGCGTGGTGCAGCGCTCTCTCCAGAGCAGGAAACTGCCGTGCCAGGCCACGGCTGCTCACGCATGACGGGTAAGCAAGAAATGTTTTACTCAGAGGCCCCCGAAGTGGCTTTCTGCAAGTTATCTTTGGCATCCAAAGCAAAGCGGAGCTCCAGCAAGGCCCTCGGAGATCTTCTGGCAAGGACGGAAGCAGTGAAAAGGATTCCTCACAAG